TGATATGTGCTACGAAATGCCTAGCTCAGAATGCTAGAAGCGACCAGTTTGTGGAGAAAAGGAGCGTGCGTTCTGTACCTGCCGACTATGCATAGCTCTCCATCATGCGCACAGGAAGATGGCTTCCCGAGTAAGAATAGAAATTTGAAAATGAAGTGACCAAAATCCAGGGACTTTTTCGGGAGGGGCGTACCGCAGTGAAGAGTGGCCCCTCGCTTGATGAAATGCTGGGTCCGCTCCCGTGAAGGTCATCGACTCCATCTTCCGTCAATAAGTCTTCCGTTAAAGGGACTGTCCCATCTTTTTGTAGTTGTTTGGACAGGCTGACGCTGTCCAGCCAGCGACCAAATGGCCCTCTTCGGCGAGCCTCGTGTGAACACTTGTCCTGGAAGGCGCATCCGCCATCACATGCTTCGTCACATCACGAATGTGATCAGCGTAACTCCAGTCGACCTCAGTTCCACCAAAGGTGGGCTTCTGTTACCACAACTGATGTGTATTCGCGGCAACACAGTTTTCGGCGAGCACTTTGTGTGTTGCGCCAACAGGTTTGTAAACAGGCAATGCCTGTTATCTGTCACATCATTAGCTTTTTTTCTCTCCAAAGATATTACCTGTGTCCTGTAAATCAGCCATGAGTAGCTGAACTCGGATAAATGTATGAGACATACTAGGGCCAAATGCCGGTTAACCTTTGTACCAAATGAGGTCAAACTCCAGATCGGTATTCGAGGTACCTCCAGGCCTCCTCATGCAACCACCTGATCCCTAGATGCCTGTTTTAAGCAAAATTTCAATGTTATTCATTTCAGGTTGCACCGGTCGGAACGCCTGCGCCACACCTGTGGAAAACACGGTTGATTGGGCAATTTTAGGTCAGTGACCTTTAACATGTAAGAGGTTCAGATAAGATGTCTCTTGACATCCCTTTGACAAACAAATTTGAAAGTGACTGAAAAACTACCCCTTAAAGCGGAAAGCGGCGAAACTACTGAAATTTGTGGACTTTTGACGCGATATTTTTTCTTGAAGGAAAGCATACGGCTAGCTTCGTGGAATATGTAAAATGTGTTGTGTCGTTGACTTGACGATGTCCAAATCCTGTGCTGCATGTTTTGAGAATCTTGAAAAGATACGAAAATTTCCTACATTCTTATTGAGGAATGTGACACGAGCGATGCATAAGCAATTATTAGTGTTAAATATTGAAAACAATGATATTAGATTTACTGCGCCCCGGCACGTAAAATCGTCTTGCATTCGAAGTATATGATAGTTGTAATACACCCGCCACAGTCGTAGCGTGCAAAGGAAGCATTTCTTGTAGTGCGTATTATTCATGATACGCAATACGCAATTGCGTATTGCATGCTATGAACAATATGTTAATAATCATTAAAATAATATTGCGTATTACGTGCGTTTTTTGCGCACAATTGCTCACGCATTTTCATATTGTGTTAGTATGTATAGCACCACGAACTCAGGATGCGATGGTGTAATCTCAATTGCTTGTGATGCTGTAACTGCTAATTCTGATCAGGGAATCTATCTCGAGATTGCACAGGTGCTGGTCAGGAGCTGAAGGGCCCTTCCGTCCCAGCTCGTGGTAACAAGAAACTGCTACTATGCTACTATGGCGATACGGGGACCGGGGTGCTCTGGTCAATCCGGAGATTCTCAAAGGAATACATCAAGCACCGGTCCTATCCCTGATGCCGGGGCACGCAGGTCATGCGGGGACCAGGATCGATGCAGGGACATGTCACTGATGGAAAAGAATCACTCGCACGCTCAGGGAGTTCAACGCCTGATTGACGCCGAGACACCAACTCGGCTCATCGGCCCCTGCTTCCTGGTTGAAACGGTGCGGAGGGTCCCTCGTTCGGTACTGCTATCTCTGACTGGCACAGTTCACTGTCCCATTGTGAATACAAACCGTTGCATTATCATTTCCCATGTCTCCTGTCATTAACAACTGGGTCCTGACAAACGCAAGAGGCATTTTGATATTTGAGGTTCCGCGCTTGCCCTCTTCAACAAATGTGCCGATGGCCGACTTTGGGCTCATGGCCTTGTTGCACTATGTGAGCCCCTGGTTAACACGGGGGTCCGACCAATGTACGATCTTTCAGATTAACATTTCCAGGCCCGACCATGCCCCGACTAGGAAAACAGGCCCCAGAGTTACGGCCGACGCGGAACCGAGTGTTCAGTACTGCCTACTGGCTGAGATCCCTTCATTCTCGGCCTGCCCTTCGGATCCTGCGATCGGATCAGTGATCGTTTCGCCCTCGGGGCTCAAAGGGCTCCTCGCGACCCCCGATGCCTAAAACCGTTTAAACAGATACATGCTTCTTTATTTTTCAGATTAGGGAAAAGGTGTTTTTAAAGCGACAATTTCTTAGAGCACTCTTTATCAGAGACCAAAAGCTCAAAACCGAGGTGATATTTCTTAAGCACGAGGATATTCCATGCACTAACATATAAAGAAATACTCATGTGAATTTGATGTTAATATGTTTTTTATTTTATTTTAGATACTTCGTATGGCAGCGCCCAGGATGCTACAACTCATGTCGAGAAAACGAACGAACCGTTTATGGAAGCAGAGCAGTTGAACGTGTCTCAAAGTAACATTCTAGATGAACGTCGGCCATTGAAAATTGGCTCTCGTGCCGAGTCTCTTCATTTTTCCACAACTCTGTGGCAATGTATATATATATATATATATATATATATATATATATATATATATATATATATATATATGTATATATATATATATGTGGGTGTGGGTGTGGGTGTGTGCATATGTATATATACATATATAAATATACATATCAGGTATGTATATATATATATATATATATATATATAAGGTATACATGCTGTGATTTACCATACCTAAAGCTGTTTTTTTCGGACAGACGCCCTGAACGGGCAACTAGAAGTATCGCTCCAACTACATCACTGACACAGACAGCATTGCGGGCCGAAATACATCCAGTAAGCATGGGCCAAACCACGGCTGCACCCGCTTGAAGCATAGGCAGTTGTGTAGAAATGGCATTTGTGCTCTCGCAAAGTGGTTGCAACAATGAAAATTGCGTTGTCGGGCAGATTAAACGTTCGAAGTACTTCTGACTACTTACAACAGTGCATCATAGGCTCCCATCTTAACGCACTCGGTTCGAGGTCAATTCAACCCTCTCTTAAGGTTTTTTCAAAATAGTTTCCGATTGGTCGCGGCGTAGTCACGCCAATTTTTCATAGCTGTAAATAATTAAATTGTTGATGGTTTGCTGCCAAAAATTTAAACATACCTTGTGAGGTCGTTGACCGACGGCATGGATTCAGCGAAGTCAATGTCTAGAGAATCTAGAACTGTATGGGGTAGTTTCTGGTGCTCATTTTGCATTTATTGATGACAGGAACCGTATAGTACATCTTGAATGGAAGTCGTGAAGGCCAGAACAAGTCACCGACCTAAAAGGACACAGACCAATATTTTGTTTTAAGAAAATGCTGATTAGCGTAATCTTTGTGGCTTATTCAAATGTAAATCTTGAAGCAGTTCTGTATGATTACGGTAACCGTGTTTTCCAGAGGTCAAACAAGGTCACCGACCTTAAATAAGTATATGACCTTTTGCTTGGAACAAGTGTCTAGTTTTTGAGGGTACCATGGACGCCAACCCGGAGTTTTACCTTGTTTGACCTTATTTTACCCGAAGATCATGACCCAGGAACTTCTAAGTTTGACTCAAGGGCGTTCACGTACAAGCAATCACTCGCTGTGAATCTGGTGTCTCCAGTTCCGTTAACATCTGAGATCTTAGCGGGGTCAAATTGATTCTCACCCACCGCCAACTGGTGGGTGAGATCCAACCGGCCACCCGGGCGCGTGTTAAAGTTGGAGGCAGTGAGGCAAATTCCATGAAATGTCATGCATTTGGAGTATCTCCAGCGCTCAAAATCATAAGCTAAGTCACCACACTCCCCGCTAACGATTGCAGCTAAGAAAAAATCTTAAAACGTGGTGAAAACATGGAACGACTGCTTTCAATGTTAGGTACTTATTCAAACCTAGTTACCGATGAAACAATGTAATTTGAAGCTTGATTCTAGTATTAATGGAATGTCTAGACTATTATCTCAAATGCTGCTGTCGTTTATATTACAAACACGTAGAATAAGGGTTTTTGGCATGTTTTTGTAATGGCTTTAGCATCCAACTGTTTCCGAAAGTTCGGATGCTAATTCTGGTATCCGAATACTCGGTCAAACACTCGAATGTGTCGAATCTGAATGCTTAGCTTTAGAAAGCACTGCATCATTCAAATTTCTGAAGCCAGCCAGTTAGTCAGCAAACATTTTAACATGTCACGTATTTTCCATGCTGTAATTAATTCTTAAAAATCTCCTCTAGCCGTTTGCCATTTATCCGTTCACCATTTTCGCATGTCGACGTATTGGTGCGTCACCAATGAGAGATTGTCTAATGAGCCGGTCGCTAATTTAGTGAGTCGAGTTTTTGCATGTCGTCATTTTGCGGTTCGAAACTTGGCCTGTCGACATTTTGGTGCGTCCATTTCTTGCATTTTATACGCTTGCAGTTTGCCATATAGCAGTCGCCATATAGCAGTCGACAAAAAGGCATTCACTGCATTTTATGTTCGAGCTTTTTCCTGGAATCGCTGAAACAACTGTCATAGACCGAATTCCATACCAGTCTTAACCCACGCAATTTCTTTACACTGGTTGCCATGTGGTGAGTCGGGAACCGGTAAAACATTGCCTACTCCATTCCAGGATGTACCCACGAATAGACCGGCAAATCGCTTCGCAGCCCACCCGGAAATAACCAATCCAGTTATGGCTCGCTTGTTGTGCACCGTCGCTTGTGTTATTGGCAGTCATGGAGAAGATCGTCAGATTTAATATTTCCGGTAAGACGGGCGCTATATAAGCTACAAATTGTACAGCTGGCCTCGTACCGCCTGTACTCCTCCGTCCGATCGGTAAGTGGCTGGACGGCGCTCCCTGTATTGCTCAATCCAATCACCCAGGCCTCGAGGAACTCGGTGCGGGTTTTTGTTTCTCTGCATCATTATTCAGCTAGCTCGTCCTGTTTGACATTGATAAGTGATGCCCTGCCTGCCAGCACCACCCCTGGTTGCAAATTCAGTCGACAGCCTCAACAGCCATGCCTGAAGCGCTGTGCGTATTGGAATGTGTGAGTCTTGCTCGGCCTTGTGACGAGCGTCCCCGGTTGACATTCCGCCACTGCCCGAGAGAAATGCCTCAGATGATCGTTGTACGGCTAGTCTGCCGCCGACCATTGCGCTACTGTGTCCATTGTTTGGTCCATTGGTGCTTAGCACCTTGATCCGGGTCCCACCATCGTCAGAGGGTGCAGGTGCCAGTGTTCGGGACGGTCCCTGGCGTATGAAAACGCATTGACACACTAAAGGCATCTACATGCGCTCGCGGCGTCGACTTCGGAGATGGACCATATTTCCTCTTGCGCTCGCCTTTGATCTCAGTCGCTGCTCAGCGCGCCTCCGATCCCGTCTCCGACTGAGCCTGGCGTAACACGGTCGTCTGCGCCCTTCAGCGATGAAGCTGCTGTTGACCGTGCTGACCCTGAGCGCTGCCGGCGCGCTGGCCATGCCGGACGAGCCGGCCGCATCGGTCCCCAAAAAACTGCCGGCCAGCATCATCGAGATCTTCAAGAACAGGTTCGGCAGCGGCCAGCCCGGAAAGCCGGCTCAGCGAGAGGAGGTCTCATACACACTGATCCAGAAGAACGACAAGTTTGAGGTAAGGACTTCTGCCCAACTGGCATGGGGGAGGGCATTTCTGTTGGTGCAAAAGGAAACGGGTGCGAATGTGTTCGACGCATGCACCACAGGGTATGTAAGCATATGCACGATTGTTCAGCAATCGATGCTGGTTGGTCTGAGAACTGGCGATCACGGCATCACGGTCCAAACATGTGGCTCGCAGCATACCCTACCTGATGGCCTCGTACAATGCGCTGTTTGATATATCTGAAACTGCACAGGCTGAGACCGATTTAATATACCTCTTCGATCTATTGAAATCATAATGTCCAGTAAATGATCCCTGCTTCAGGTACTTTGCTCAGACAATAGAAATAACCAGCTTGCTGCAGTTTTGCGTTGGCTTCGTGAAGCAGGGCCTTGGACCGCGTGGCCAGCCCCCACCCTCTCCCCGATAACGAGCGCTATGTACAGGAGCGCACGTACCCCGCCTGGAACTGGGTCTGCATCGACGTGGAGCTGGGGCCCGGCGGGACCGACCACACCATGGACTTCCTGGAGATCGCCACCTACATGCAGGGCCAGAACGCGGCCGGCGCCCACATGGCGCTGACCATCCCTGTGATGATGCAGCGGCGCGCCGACGGCGGCGGCGTCATGTGCGCGCCCCTCCCCGCCTCGCACCAGGCGACGGTGCCGGCGCCCCAGTCGGACCGGCTGCGGCTGGTGGCCGTGCCGCCGACGGACGTGTTCGTGCGCCGGTTCGGCGGCTCGCCGCGCCCCGCCGAGTGGAAGGAGCAGGCGGAGATTCTGCGCGGCCACCTGGCCGAGGCGGGCCACGACGTCAGGCCGGCCGTCATCAAGGCCATGTTCTCCGACCCCCTGCAGCGCCTGAACCGCCGCAACGAGGTCTGGCTCATCAAGGCCTGAGCGCCGCCGGCGACGTCACGCCGCGGTGCGAAGGCACTGGTGACGTCCTGCCTCGGCGCGGACGGTGTTTGCCACAGAACATCGCGGCGCATACGGCACCAGTGACCTCAGATCGCGGCACAGACGGCACCTGTGACCTCAGATCGCGGCACAGACGGCACCTGTGACCTCAGATCGCGGCACAGACGGCACCTGTGACCTCAGATCGCGGCACAGACGGCACCTGTGACCTCAGATCGCGCACAGACGGCCCCTGTGACCTCAGATCGCGGCACAGACGGCAGATGTGACCTCAGATCGCGGCACAGACGGCACCTGTGACCTCAGATCGCGGCACAGACGGCAGCTGTGACCTCAGATCGCGGCACAGACGACTGTGACCGCAGCACAGACGCACCTGTGACCTCAGATCGCAGCACAGACGGCACCTTGACCTCATCGCAGCACAGACGGCACCTGTGACCTCAGATCGCGGCACAGACGGCACCTGTGACCTCAGATCGCGGCACAGACGGCGCTGTGGCAGCACACCACTGACATGGCGAGAAACACGCAAAGGGACCTGCGGACTTGGTCGTTACAGGCGCTGTAGACTCAGTCACGCTTAGGCCCTACACTTGCACATTGGAAGTCCGCTTCTTGCCACATATGCAGCACTGGTTGGTGTTCCTCTCCTGTTGAAAACTGCATGCTAACGCAAAATATACGCTTCCGCAATCTTCTGACTGTTCTACAATGCCGGCAGAATTTCCGTACGATATGGGGCGAGAGGGGTGAGTGCTAACACCAGATTTTTCAGTTATCATCGTTTAAATGTCAGCAAAAGGCGGGCCGGATATCTTCGAATATTCATATGAATGGATTTGCAAAGAATCGAGGGCTTGGCAGGCCTGTCTTTCATCAAAGTTAAGCAAGCAGTCGTGCAGTGGTGTGACGCTCAAGCAAGAGCCTGCAAATGACATTCTTTGATTTTGGCTCTGTGCAGAACTTGTCAGGCCCAGCAATTTCAGCTGACAATATGAACAGATATGTCGAGTAAATTTGATGACAAATAACAATTGCGTTTTCGTGATTACGGTCAAAGCATTCCGAACGACGCATCAAGTTTCGATAGGTATTAGTCATAGCAAACAGGATTCAGCCGTAATACCTGTGTTTTTCAAGTGAGACATTTTCTCCCGGTTTAGACCACAGCTTGTTTTTCCGAAACCGGCTTCGAAAAAGGCACTGTTGGCTACTTACTGACCAATACTGCGCTCACAAGGATCAGACCCTTGGGTTTACAATGCACAAAACGTAAGCGTTTCTTGGAGAGAGAAGACGAACCTTTAAAAAATGCACTGACAACGTGCACCATCAAACCCGTACGTAACAAACAAGAAATCATTAGAATGTATGGCGTGTAAGTATAAGTATGCCCTAATTCCGGTTTTGATTAAAAAACTGGGATTGAAAGCCCTGTTGACGCCCCTAGCAGCAGCGTATAGGCATGGCTGCCGGAGAGGTCACGGTACGAGAGAATCAACCAGAGTTTCAATCAACATTCACGGTAATAATTTGTTTACCAGGACCCCCCCCCCCCCCCCGCTGGTGGCACGGCACCATGACTCCACCATGACTTGTTGAATATCGAGCAAACACACGACACCCGCCCGTGATAGACTTGCATTTATCTTCCATTTGCAGCTTGCAATAGCTATGTTGCAACTTTGACTGGCAATCACTCAATTTTCTATAGAAATCAGGGTTTAAATGGTTTGTGACGAGAAACAAACATAATTTACATGTTTCCATCGCGGCACGACAAATGTTCACAAAAACAGTCTCCCCCGCAAGGTGCATCTTGAATATCTGTCGACGTAAGATTCAAGTGAAGTGAGCAGCTCTTGCAGACCGTGGGAATGTTGATGGCGGATAAACATCAATGCCATACTGTTGCAGAACTAGAAGGTGCAGGCATTCATTGATTGGTTCATCGTTGGTATTGTTGCTAAAACTTCAGCGGCATAATTAAAAAGCGCTCGTGCGATTTTGCACCTTATTTAATTACAACCGCACTTACAAGTAGGGAACACCAAGAGCTCATTTTGATGTTTCTAGAGTCCAAAACGCGCTGTCGATGCGGCAGACAAGGTACGAGAGAGTAGCAAAGGTCCGGATGCACGAGTTCGGAAACGCCGGGCGTTATCGACCCGCAGTTGGTAAGCATTGACCTGATACGTTATGCTCAATGTTATGTTATGAAGCAAAAGTCAAACTGAAAGTCGTTGAACTGGTCAGTTTACAGGGATAGGTGTGTGCTTCAATCGGCATGTATGCCAGGTCAGGCTCATATTCACTGGAGCCGATAAATAAACACTTTGCCAGTAACGTGCAGTGATAGTGCCCTAAGCCACGTGAGACGTCTCTTTTTCATCGGCGGGTGTCTTAGACTATCGTTACAGGTAGTGATACAAAGCTGCATGGGGTTTTGAACTGAACAACAGTTTGGGAGATCATTCGGTACAGTTCAGAGGCCTGTCCTTAAGACCTTAAACTCTCAGGTTTCTGGGTGACTGGGTTCTGGGTTTCTGGGTTACCGTCAAGATGTGTAGACTATTTCGTGCTACAGCCCGGCTTCCAAATAAAACTGCCGCCAATTGGCTATTGATCAATGTTGTGCACGCTGTGCAAGGTTCAATCACAAATCACGTATTGTGGTACATAATGCAAGGAGTTGGGCATGGGCTTTAATTACTACGAAAGCAATGTTTGTAATAAAAAATGTAACAATATCGTCATAACCAAGCATGTCTATAGAAGTAAACATCATAAACTCGCCGATGAATTTGTAAGAGCACCATGAGAAAGGGCCAAACACGAGCACGTGACTTCATTTGATTCAGTTAACACCTCCAGCACCGCCACGGCCACAGTGCAGTACTTCGGGAGGTCGAAGTACTGCAAGTGAGTGCGAGGGCGGCAATTTCGCACGTCCAGTTTGGCAGCACCTCGAATGCCATACGATGTTTTCGTAACGCAAGCACACAGTGACGTATCGAGGAACAAATTTACTAAATAGAGAACTTGTGTTACATAGAGCAGTATTTTTAACTTAAAGTGTACCAAGTGCTATAAGTGAGCTTGGTTCATTATATTTCATGCTTGCTTCAATATCTTCAAATGTGGAACAACCCTTAATGTGTTCAAGACTGCTCTAGGCAACAAAATTTCAACATTTATTGATTATGTTCCTCAAAACGTCACCGTCTGGTTACGTCATGGAGTGCCTCCACGATGTCAGTCACTGACGGCTGGCCGTGTCAGTGTTGTCACTGTACCAGATGGGCCGAGTCACTTGGGGTGCATCAGCTTGCCGGGAGTTGACGGTTTTTGCTGGGGCGTGTTTGTTAAACCCAAATATCGTTGTGCTTGTGTTTTAGGTTTTTGTCGCGATATTTTTGTATTTTTGTCCATGATTTCAGATTTCTACTTGCGTTAGTGAGCTCAGTTGTGACCTTGTTATTCCCATTTCGATTATTTGATTCCCAGTCTTACTTCCGTCATGATCCGCACGGCTGTCCAAATCTCTGTGTTATTCTGCACAAAACGTGATTCCTCGTCGAAACGTGCGTTCACCGTATTTGATTGTTGAACGGTGCCGGCGTGCACCAGACACGCATGATGTAACGGTCATATGCTTTATTGACCTTAAGAACTGAATGGCCATTTTGATGTCAGTGTGCGTGAGACGTTTCTATGACGTCTATGACGACTTTCTATGGGCGATGCTGAAATAGTCTGCTCGAAGAAGTCTGTGCAAATTTGCGGGCGTCAAGCTCGGAACCAGCAGGGTTTTAGGTCTTAAGAGGGTTATGGGTGTTGAATTAACTTCACTGAGTGATCTTAAGGAAGATTTCTCTGTTAAAAAACCCTACAAATGAAGAACACTCCCAATTTTCCTAGCTGGTTGAGTCTGCAAGACAGATTCAATCTGATTTCACATGCTGTGATAGCTATACCTGGGTTAGTTTTGAGCATATGTATGAGATCGGAATTAAAATTTTCCAATAAATGTTGAGGGCTCAGATGTAATTTTTGGACTATTCCTCCTGTACAGTACATATATACAAAATTGTAGGACGCAACATTAATTTTCTGAAATATCGGCTCGATGGAGCTACGTCCCCAATTGTCAGCATTAAGGCTACACCCGTGTAGGCTATGGTGCGAGCGAAGTCCTTCTCTTTACCTCATACAAACGAATGACGCGCCAGGACCAGTCCGAATTGGGACCGGTCCTCGGGTTACGGTCCCAGTCAGCTCGAGGCGCCCGACCCTCGCTCAGCTGAAGGCCGGTCATCTTGGCAGCCGCACCAACCGCTGTCTTCACCTGCCGCGAACGCTGCGCGGGACTGGAGACTCGGAATGCAACAATTGGCCCTGCCGGACATCTCCCTTCCGTGCTTCGCTAGCAATGGTGGCAGCGGCGGTTAAGGGGCTACGTATCCCTCAAGACTGACTCAAGCCTCTTCAGCTGCAAAGATCTTGCAGTCTTTGTCTCAGATCTCTCCTTCTCCGTGACGGTACGTCGCCCCTATGCCAAGTCACCGGCAAGAGTGGACTTCTCTGGACTTGTCGTCCAGCAGCATCGTCCCAGTGCTTAGCTCCGCGCGACATCCTCAGCCCGGAGGCCAACCCACCAGCCGCACTGGACTGCAACGGGGCCTGCCGACATCGCACGGCAGACCAGGTTGTGCCGTGTGTGGTTTACTCAAACCATCGAGTGATTATTTGCTATCAGCGTCAACAAAAGTACTGCGAATTCCAAGAGCTTTCCTGTTTTGAAGCGAACACGATGAACTAAAAGTCAAGAAACAATGAAATTTGCTTAAAGTTTTGTGATTGATCTTTCCACCTGGCCAAAAAAAAAACACGAATAGTGTCAAAAGAAGTGAAAAGTACACTCTAAATTTTGTACTCACCAGATCCCGCGCGGCACCTCACGTAGTGTGCAGCGTAATCGCTCCGTGTTGGCAGCTCCCTTTATATTTGCGAAAGCTTTGCAAGGACATTTTTCTTATCGTTGTTGACATTTTGCTCTTTGCAATACCATGTTGACATTTCAACGTAACGATATTCGCAACAGGCGTGTACATTCAATTACGTGCTATATCGTGGGTGATTCGCTGAAATTTAGGCGTAAATGCGATTGCGGTCAGAGTAGCCGAAGCGGCCAGAGATGCCGAGAACGGTCTTGACAAAAAGCAGGGCATCGTCCAGCCGTAAATAAACCTTGACGAGCACGCGGGGCGTGCCTGGCACTGGCCCTTTTCCTATTGCGTTAAAGGCCATTGAACTCACCGTGGCAAGTAATAGGTGTAATTACCATGTGTTGACCAGCTTATCTGTTCATACCATGCTTGCGATGTCCGCACGTCTAAACTCACTCTTCACGCGTGTCCAGGCGTTCGCTCTCTTTGCTGTGGTCGCTTCAGTTCCCCACGCTTCCCTGGGGAAGGAAAGATGTGTGGGGCCGAAGCCCTCCTCTTCATGTTATACAAAGGAATCACACGCCAGGACCGGTCCGTGCTGGGACGCGACTCGGATTACGGCCCTCAGTCAGCTCGAGGCGCCCGACCCTTGCTCAGCTGACAGTCATTTGGAGGCCAGCCGTAACGACGGCTGCCTTCGCCTGCAGCGAACGTTGCGCGAGATTGGAGACTTGAAATACAACTCTCGGCCTTGTTAAAGTCTCGCTCTCGTCTCGCTCCTCTGCGACGTTTT